TGAATGTCTGTGGGGAGGGCTTGTGCTCATCTCTTCCTTTTGTCTTAGGCCCGTATCAGCCCCCCAAAAATTATTCATTTATGTCACCTGTCTGGATCCTGTAGACATTCAGATTTTTAACTCCTAATACTGATGACTTCCAAGACTATACCAGTAGCACAAAGTACATTCCTGCACCCCAAATAATATATCCAATCTTCATTTGGATATCTGACAGGCACCTCACACTCAACATAGGTAAAACTGAGCTCAGGACTTCCCCATCAAGTCTTATCCTTCTGTGTTTCCCCTCTCAATGAATGGCACTTCCTGACACCAAAATTCAATCCTGAGATTCACACTCACTCTCCATTAACCACCTCATCACTTACACGCAACTGATTACCAAATTGTGTAAATTCTACCCCCTAAATATCTCTCAAATGTATGCCTTCTTCCCTACTACTATATTTTTCACTCAAGGTCTTGTCATTTCTACCTGAATCATTGCAATAGCCTCTCCCTTTTTGACCCCTATAGCATTGACTCTCTACAACTCAGTTCACACCCTAGGTTCAAGCCCAGCAAGACCAGGAACTCTCTGGTTCTCTGCACCTCAGTGATTTGACATGTTCTCTCTGCTTGAAACACCTTCTTATCATCTTCATCTCAGAAAAGCCTATGCTGTCCTTTATGTTTCAACTCAGACATTTCCATCTCTAGAAGGTGTGCCTTTCCTAATACCTCACATCCTGTAAGAGAGGGGCCCTCACACCTCTCAACCATCTCCTGCACTAAACTCATTTCCCTATGGGCAGGAAAGATGCTCATGACTGTATTTCACATGCTGGGTACACAATAGTCCATCAATAATTTTTAAATAAATGATTCTCTAAGTAAAGTCTATCTTCATTGGACTGGTGCCCAATTGTCTTTGCAATCCTTGCAATCCAGCTGCAACTTCCACTGTCATCTGATACGGTGTGCATCTGTGTCCCCACCCAAATCTCGTGTCGAAATGTGATCCCCAATGCTGGAGGTGGGGTCTGGTGGGAGGTGATTGAATCATGGGAGCAGTTGCTACCCGTTTCACACTATCTCCCTAGTGCTGTTCTCATGATGGAGTTCTCATGAGATCTGGTTGTTTAAAAGTGTGTGACATCTCCCCCTTCTTGCTCTCTTCCTCTTGCTCTTGCTACATAAAAAGTGCCTGCTTCCCCCTTCACCTTCTGCCATTATTGTAAGTTTCCTGATCTTTCCAGAAGTCGAGCAAATGCTGCCATGCTTCCTGCACAGCCTGCAGAACTGTGAGCCAATTAAACCTCTTTTCTTTATAAATTACCCCATCTCAGGTATTTTCATGGCAATGCAGGAATTAAACAATACATCATCCATATCTCTCACTAGACCCCTACATGAATCTAATGCTCCAAATAGCAAGAATATCATATTATAGCTTTTGACTGAGAAGAAAGTCTGCAAAACTTAACGATTGTATGCACAGATTTAAATAAATTGCCAGTGACTGTTGAATAAGGGAACAAACTACTCTACTTCATTCCCTGAAGACCCTGTGCTGGTTTCCTACCTGTATAATTGATCATGGGCTCCTCAATCCCTCCTCCTATAATAAATCTATTCCTTATCCACCAAATTAAATACTATTTTCTTGAAACCTTACCTGCTCTACTTAGCCAAAAATAGAAATGATTGCTCCTTCCTCTGAGCTCCTCCACCTTAGATTCTCTGATAACTATCTAATTTTGCCTTATATTGTATTTTTTGTATGCATAGCTTCTATCCCCTTCCTGACTGTAATCACCTTCAGAGCAGACAACATGTCTTTTTTGACCCTTTGATGCCCCCATAGCATCTGGAATTTAGCAAGTACGCAATGCATATTTTAAGTGACTATTAAATAAGATCAGATTATGAGTATTTCAACTAATTAAAAATGCATTTAGTATTTGATTATTATCCCTAAAGCCAACTGCTTTGTGAATTTAAATAAATAAAGCTCATCCACAGTAATAATTAATTACCAATTATCATGTTAGTGTTTCCCATTCACAAATATTAACCTAGGGATAAAAGGGTTTTCTAAGTTACTGAGAGGAGTAGACACTTTGGTTTCCATTCTAAAACCAAAGCTACAGAATCCATTTCCATGTGGTCTGCTTGGACAGTGAAGTGATTGCTTCAGGTTTCAGCTGAAACTATATTGGCAACTCAGGGGTATCTTTTTAAAACCCTGAGTAGGTCCCTTGGAGCCTTCCTGAGATAAAGAGCTGTAATTTAATTTGCTATTGCATAACCCAGTCACGAAAGGCACAAAGGAGCCCACGTTTTCATTCTCTTCATAGTAGACATTTAATTATATGATAATTACTTACAGCTTGCTGCTCGGCTTCTACTTTTATGAAATGTAAATTACACTTCACTCAAAAGTGTAAGATGTGCATTTAAAATACTTCACTAAATGAATTTAAATAATTTTCTGACATTTTTTCCCAGGCTAAGAATTTAGGGAGGCGATATACCTTTAAACGATACTTTGATTTAGACACTAGGAAAGTTGAGTTCTTAATGAATATCTGAAAGAGAGAAAAGCTTCCAAGAAAAAAAATGAATAGTGTGTTCTAAGCAAGTTCAATGGCTTCAGTAAAGCCAAAGCCTCATCTCTCAGAGGAAGTCTACCACTTTTTCAACTGTATAGATTCATTAATGGAGTTTTACTGGTAAGGCTAAGGAAAAAACAAAGTGATGGCAATGATAAAGGTGATGCTATTTGAATGACTACATTTGGAAATGAATGCTAAATGCATTTTATTTGTCTTTTATTGCATTATTTTGCCCTAACATTAAAATTGACTCCTAACGGAGGTCAAGTGATCAGGAAAATCATTATTATTTCCACTGCTGCATTATGCATTGAAGTAGAAAACACAGTCTGGGGAACCCAAAGCCACAGATGACTCAAAGGAACCATGAAGCATTCTCCTTAAACCTTGCATTTTGCATTCAGAGGCTTTGCCATCATTCTTGCCAACTCAAACCATACAAGTAGTCAGGATTACTCTCCATGGTATTTGCCTCTGGTGGTTCATTGAATGTCTTCACCAAAAAATTCCAAAGAAACTAGGAAGTGAACAAGAGCCAGAAAGGTAGGTAACTTACATTTTCATATGGGAAACAAATATATAAAACTTTAAGCAAAATTATTTTTCACAATTTGATCAGGAAATCATGAGGAATTCAGGGTCAACCACCACTGATAATCATAAAAGACCTTATACTTGTCAAGGATTTTGTTATTTTCAAAACATTTTCAAACACAAATTCATAGCATGTTAGAGCTAGAAGGAACATTAAAATTCATCCAGTGTCACTCTCTCTTTTAATGTATTTATTCTATCTATTGTTATAAGCTTTTATTGAAATATACAAAAAATATAAATCTTAATTATACAGAGTAATTTTTATAAAGTAAGCACACCCCCATTACCATCACCTAGATCAAGACTCAGAGCATTATCAGCATCCCAAAAGTCTCTCTCGTGTTTCTCTTGGTCTTCTACCATTATTCTAATTTTTATTACCATAGATTAATTTTCCCTGTGCTTGAACTTGATATAAATGTATTCTCTTTTATTTCTGGCTTCTTATTCAATCTTGTATGTGTGAGATTCACCCATTGTGCTTGGTGTTGTAGTATTTTTTTCTTATTAATTGCTGTGTGATATTCCATTGTATGAATATACCACAATTTATCCATTCTAATGTTGATGAACATTTAGATTATTTTTAGTTTTGTGCCATTACAAATAATACTGCTGTGAACATTTTGCACATGTCTTTTGGTGCAAATGTGTGCATTTCTGTTGGGTATATGCATAGTAATGGATTTATTAGGTCATTGGGTACACATATATTCAACTTTAATTGATACTGCCAGTTTTCCAAAGTCGTTGTACCAATTTACACTCCAGTCAATAGCATATGAGAGTTCCACTAGCTCCACTCTTTGACAATACTTGCTGTTGTTGGTCTTTTTAATGATAACTATCCTGATAAACGTGTAGTGGTAACTCATTGTGGTTTTAATTTGCATTTCCCCAATGACTAATGATGCTTGCTAAACAAGTCAGTATACTATTTGGTGAAATACCTGATCAAGTCCTTAATTTTTAATTAGGTTATCTGTCATTTTTTATTTATCCATGGGAGTTATTTATATATATTCTGGACACAAGTCCTTTGCAAGTTATGTATATTATAAATATTTTCTCCCACTCTAATTTGCCTTTTATCTTAATGAAGTTTTAGATTAATATAATTACTGTATTTCAATAAAGACCAAGAGAGGGCTCAAATTACCAACGTGAGGAATGAAATATCAGGAATTAAAAAGGAGGCATCACTACAGATATTATGTGTTAAAAAGATAAGAGGAAGATAATATAAACAACTTTATGCCAACTCTTTTGCTATGATAGTGCATGCACTATCTATTTTCATTGTACAAGCTATCAACACCATATAAATTTAAAGAATGAAAAATTAGAAAATCATTTCTCTGTTGTTACTTCTCAAATATGGAAAGATATCACTTCATTTATTCAACATTTGTTTACAACATCTAAATGTCAGATATTTTATGAAGGGATAGGGACATAACAATGAACAGAAAAGAACAGTCCTTATTCTCATGGAGTTTACAAACCCATGGGAAAAAAACAAACATTAACAATCACCCTAATAACTCATTACCACTATGGCAAGCGCTACATAGAATAGCTACAGGGTGCTATACATGTGTATAAAAGGGACTATTTAGAGTAGAGGAGCAAGCAAAACTAATCTGAAAGAACTACATATAAGCTGAGACTTGAAGTATAGTTATAAGTTTGCTAGGTATAGGGTGTGGAGGAGAAGGGAGGATGAGAAAGGGAAAATTCAGAAAGAATGAGCACCCCTCCCCATAACACACACATATACATGCATACATGCACACAGCCTACCTGGTACAATATGACCCAAAGATTCGACTGCTCCAGATCAAAATTAAGAGGATGCTGAGTTCTAAAGCGAAGGCAAGAGGAAACAAAGCTATATTACTGTTCTACAATGGAAGTGACTCTGAGGTTTGGAAAACAGAGATATTGAAGTACCTAGAGCTTCAAGACAGTATTCTCAAAACAGACTGGAGTTTTACAGATTCTACAAGTAGAGTATATAGACACCCTGTTCCTTGACAGTGCCCAGGGAGATGACAGGACATCGGAGAAAAATGGCAACGTGATATCCAAGACTAGACCCAAACCAGTTCAAGACTCCCAGCTGGGACAGAATCCCCTGTGCCTCAGTTTGGTCCAGAAGCAGCAGAGCTGCTAGCCTTGAAGAGATCATACAGGCTTGGACAATGAGTATGTCAGTGATGACCAGTGTGAAAACTGAGGACCTGAGGATTCCCTGTGATGGTCCAAGATGCTTAGTACTTAACATGGACATGGAGGCCTCAACAATGACTGAGATTAAATGTTCTATGAAATCTGGGTGGAGGGTATGGTCTCTGAGCAGATTGATATTTAGAGAATAAAAGAAATATTTATTTCACTCCATATTTTGGGGTAAAATGCATGCCAACTACAAGATTTAATATTGGGAGAAAGTAGTAGAATCTACTCTGGGAGAAAGTAGAGTCTCAAAGCAGTTTGGGCTGAGCTATAGGTATCTTTGATAGGACTACCTTTGTCATGAGTGGGGATGGAGCAGTTAAAGGTACAGGGCCAGGGCAGACAAATGCTCACTGAATGAAAGAATGAATGGTCCTCGCACTTTCAAGAACCCATTCCAATCTTCAGAAAGTCAGTATTTCTATCAGACCTCCTCTCCCACAAGAGGGACCCATAGAAAGTTTGGCTGTCTTACCTTAATCTATTGCTTCCCAGAAACAGAAGTAAGCTGCCCAAGTGGCCACCAAGGTTGTAGGGGCAAAAATGTGCTTCATGCTTAACTGAGAAAGAAGCAATTCCTTGAGTTATGTGTCATTAGTGAATCCTAATGTCATTAGGTACAAGAATCAGAATTTGCATAGAAATCATTGCAGGGAATTGTTTCTTCCCCATACCAGTATTGATTTCCCAGCACCATTAGCTGCTTAATGCTACTGCTTTTAATTGATTACTCCAGGGGAGTCCCTCAATAACAAGCTTCTTCAATTGAGATGCAAGGACATTCGTTGAATGTGATTCAACAACCCCAATTGACTCTGGAGACCTCTGCCTATCTATAGCATAATCACAGCAGCCTCACACAGTTTAATAAATAACATGGTCCTTCCAAATGCAATACTCACGCTATAACTTAGTTAAAAATATAAACTTGTCTGGTTCTGTTTATCTGCTAAAAATCAATGATCAAGTCATACATTTGTAAATACGTGTACAGTTGGGAGTCTGAGAGTTATTTTAAAACTTCTTCTTGTTTCGATCTCTGAGTATGTATGAAGACTCTGAAATGCCTGAGTTAACTCTCCCACCTTGGTAAGTAGTTGAGTGGCTATAGCTAGACTCTACTTTGCCTAACTAGGTATATAACAGTATTTGGAACACCACTGTCACTACCAAGCACTAGAAAAGTTGAGAAGTGTTGGGTTAAAAGCATACTGAGGCGAAGACAGCTCAGGAGCACTTCAATGATTTACCCAATTCCCCAGCAGGAGCTTTTTGTTTGTTTGTTTTTGAGACAGGGCCTTGCTCTGTTGCCCAGGCTGGAGTGCAGTGGTAGTGGTAGTGGTATGATCTCAGCTCATTGCCCCTCAACCTCCCGGGCTCAAGAGATCCTCTCCCACCTCAGACTCCCGAATAGCTGGGACTACGAGTGTGTGCCACCACACCCAGCTAATTTTGTTTATTTTTTGTAGAGACAAGGTCTCACTGTGCTGCCAAGGCTGGTCTCAAACTCTTATGCTCAAGCGATCTTCTTGCCTTGGCCTCTCAAAGTGGTGGGATTACGGGCGGAAGCCACCACACCTGATCAGCTTTGTTTTCTGATTCACTTTTCTCCTCAATGTTGTCCTCAGGAAAAAGGATCTTATTCATCAATTCAATCCAATTGACCAAATATAGTGTGCCTTGGTAGAATTGATAGAAATGTCGGCCAGGCACAGTGGCTCACACCTGTAATCCCAGCACTTTGGGAGGCCAAGGCAGGTGGATCACGAGGTCAGGAGTTCGAAACCAGCCTGACCAACATGGTAAAACCCAGTCTCTACTAAAAATATAAAAATTAGCCGGACATGGTGGCATGCACCTGTAATCCCAGCTACTCAGGGGGCTGAGGCAGGAGAATCGCTTGAACCAGGAGCAGAGGTTGCAGTGAGCCGAGATCACGCCATTGCACTTCAGCGTGGGTAACAGAGCAAGACTCCATCTAAAAAAAAAAAAAAAAAAGAAGAAGAAGAAAGAAATGTCAACTCACAAATTCAGATACACAAGAATGTTTTTTCTAATATCTCAATCTATTTTGAGCCCCCATTCCTCCAAATAGTATAAACCTTAACTCCAGTCAAGCACTCCCCACAATCTCTGGGACTGTGGCTAAGACAAGCGGAAAGTGTTTGATCTTCAGTTGCCTGCTGTTGTTCACCCTGGAATCCACTGAGAGGTGGATTGTCATGTGTGGCCTTGGTTTTCTCTTTGCATGTGTTCTAGGGATATTCAAATTCCACCCAGGCATCAGTTACAGATGCTCAGATCACTGCTGTGCTTTCTTAACCTTGAGATTAAGTTCTCTCAGGTCTCAAGATGTCCTGTGGGTATTTAGAAAACACTCGGTTTTTCCAATACCTCCCCAGAGTCTAGGGAATTGTGAGGTGGTCTCAAGGCCTGTCTTCTGACATATAATACGTGCAGTCGACACTACTGCTCTGGTGTCAGGCTAGGTTCAGGGGAACTGCTCAGAAACCTCTATGTGGGGGAGAGGCAAGGAACAGTCTTATCTGCTCTCAGATTTCTCTACTCACATGCCCCATTGAGGGTTGTATTATTAATATTTTTTCAATTTGGGTCTTGGTCCACAACATCATGTAACAGCACCTCTGTTAAAGGACTCACTAAGGACTCACTCTTTTGTTCTAATTCTCACTTTTCTCATATCTGATAGAATCTTCATCTAGTTTGGGGAAGAGGAAAACAGGCTTTAACTTATCCTGTATCCTTTCAAATCTAGTGTGTATATCATGAAGTGCATCTTCTGGGTTCTTTAGGACTTGGGCCTTTGAAGCTCGAAAGCTCCAGTTCCTGAAATTCGAAATAGGCTTTTAAAACTCAAAGGCTACGAATTTACTTTTTTTTGTCTTCTGCTTTTCTATTATAACAGCCTTTCTCTTAGGTGATGAATGTGTTTGCTGACTATTGAAAGGGCTAGGTATAAGCACACACACAGACACACAAACACACACAGGATAATTTATTAAAATATTATCCCAACATCTTACTATATATTAAAGCCATGGTAGAAACTAGAAGAGGCAAAAGAAAAGACACAGTCCATGTGCTAAAGATAATATAGTTTCATTATGGAGACTATGATTTATATATCTGAGACACTCAAAAAAATGCATCATCACATATAATCCAAACATAGCTTAAGTGATACACTAAATGCTGCAAAGAAGCCAAATAAGAGGGCTATCAATATGAACCATAGGGGTCAGAGACAATCTTTTCATAGAAAAGATTGACCTGAAAGGAGGAGTTTGAAAGAAGGTAATAAATAATTTCATTTTGAAAACTTTTCTCCAGGCAAGTGTCATGTCCCTTATATTAGGCTTTCTATGGTATTTTCACTGTCCCTCTGTGGTTTTGATTAAAAAAAAAAGAAACCCTACTCATGTCTTTCAAAACCTAATGTACCCAAGAGTTCAATTCACTTATTCAACACATACTTATTAAAGACCTATCATATACTGAGCCCCATACTAGGTAGCATTAGGGCTATTTACATAGACCGAGAACAACATGGATCTTTTACCAAGTGGAAACCATATAATGGGAAATGTCATGTACAGCAGTGGTTCTCACACTTGATTGGGCCTCAGAATCACCTGGAGGACCTGTTAAAACACAAAGTGCTGGGCCTCACCTGCAGGGTTTCTGATTCAGTAAGTCTGAGGCAGTACCTGAGAATTTGCATTTCTAATGAGTTCCCAAATGAACTGATGCTGCTGGACTGGCAAAAACCATTGATATAATGGTTAAGAACCCACAGGATTTATAGTCAGCCAGACCTGGGTTTGAATCCCACCTCTGGCACTTATTAGACATGCAACCCTGAGTACATTATTTAGCTGATTAGAGCTTTGGGCTTTTTAATCTGTAACTTGATACAACAAGATTCAGCAAAGTTTTTTTAGATATACTGTGTGTCTAGGTACAAGGAAAATAGCAATGAATAAATAGACATAAACCTGTGAGGGTGACAACCACTAAGCACAACCACCTAAAGTACTGCATGATTAGCATTGTGATCAGAACTGTGAAGAAGAAGGGCAGGGAGGGGGCTATGAGAAGTGAAAACAAGGAGACCTTATCCAGACTGAATGGTCAAAGAAGACATTACTGAAGCTGGCTGATGTCTGAACCATAAGCAGGAGGGCCCGTGCTCATTAGGAGGGGTGGTGAGGTAGGGCTGCTAGTGTTTGGAACTGTTTGATGGGCAAAGGATGGCGTGGCTGATGGTAATGTGTGGGGCTTTTGAGTGTGGCTAATCGGCACTGGTAGAAAGATGGGCCAAAGGGGAGCATGGGTTATAGAAGGGGTGGATGAGGTTGGTGGTGATGGATGGAGCTAGAGGGTGTGGTGATATGCATGACGGTGGGGAATAGTGATGAAATGATCAGGATATTGGAGAGGTAACGCCGATGAAAGTGGTGCACAGGAGGTGGTGAGCTCGCTGGTCACGGTAGACAAGGTTAGTGGGTGTGACTTGTAAGTGTAAATGATGATGGTCAGTAGAAGCATTATAAAGAATAAGGGGTCATTTCTTTAGACAAATCAGAGAAGACCTTCCTGATGTTGTGACATTTAAATTGAGACTGGAAGAATGAAAAAAGGGGTAACATACACTCTGAGCAGAAGGAATTATAATGTGCAACAGCTCTGAGACACAGTAGAGACCTGAGGATTTCACAGAAAACCAGTGCAGCTAGAGTGCCAAGAGTGAAAGGAGAAATGGTGGGAGATGAGGCTAAAAAGGCAGGCAAGAGCCAAACCATGCAGAACCTTCTAGAGATTGATAACACATCTGGTCTTTATCCTAAGAGCAATTAAAACAATGCGATCAGCTTAGAGTGTTGAAAAGCTCACTCTGGCTATATTGTGAATAATAGACTGGAAGAGGCCACTAATCAGGAAGTTTGAAGAAAATAATTCAGCAACACAGCACTGAGTCATATTTTTCTACTGACACAGAAAATATATACCTTCATAATTGGAGCCCTTCCATGTCTTTCGTCCCCAGTGTCTAATTCCTTGCCTGGTATCCTAGTACTGGAACTAGATTTCCTACACAAAAAAAAATCTGTTTCCTAGCCTGAATCTGGAACTGAATCCCTAATACCCACTTCCATCATTCCTTGATAATTCACCAGCTGCTAATCTGAATGAACTCTGGCAATTGCCAACTACTTAGATGGCCATTGGTCAACTGCCTCACTCCTGCTTGGCCAATAGCCAGGTTCTTGGTTCAGTTTGTCACCGGGGATACTTATTCTCACATTTTACCTGCTCTTATCCCTCTTAGGTCTGAATGATTCTGAACCTACTTTTGGAGTCAAACCACCATGTACTCAACCCTGTAATAACCAAATCATTAAACCTTGGAATTAAATCTTTGTGTTAGTCCATTTTTATGTTACTATAAAGGAATACCTGAGACTGGGTAATTTATAAAAAAAAAAAAAGAAGTTTAATTGGCTCACAGTTCTGTGGGCTGTACAAGCATGGCATCAACATCTGCTTGGCTTCTGGTGAGGGCCTCAGGAAGCTTACAATCATGGTGGAAAGTAAAGCAGGAGCAGGCAAGGTATGTCACATGGTGAGAGCAGGAGAAAGAGAGAGAGGGGGGAAGTCCCAGACTCTTCTAAACAATCAGATCTCATGCAAACTAACTGAGCAAGAACTCACTTATCACCAAGTGGATGGTGCTAAGCTGTTCATGAGGGAGCTTCCCCCATGATTCAATCACCTCCCATCAGGCCCCACCTCCAACACTGGAAATTACATTTCAAAATGAGATTTCGAGGTGACAAACATCCAAACCACATCATACTTGTCCCAGCCACAGGCTTCTCCTGACCAAGGAAAACTTCCTGAATTCCCAGGTCTTGTCTATTCCACTGTGGCCTGTTCCACCACCACCCAAGCCCTGGTTCTAATAGCAGGTATTGTCAAAGGGCTAGAACATCATTTAATAACAAACATGGCCTGGGAATTGAGAACATATCATGTCTTGCTATTTGAGAATTTGATGTGGATTATTTGACATTCTTAGGCTCTTGTGATTGTGCAACTTAGACCTGGTAAACAAGTCATAGGTGCTCCTTTACAGTACCTGAGCTCACTTGTCCAGTTCCTAAGAAGCCAGCACTCACATTTGGATGGATTTGCCTCAGGCATCCTGATATCATAATAAGTGAATCTGTTATATATCCTAGGCTACAGATCCTTTCTTGGATGGTATTGACTGTATTGACTGTATTGACTCTGAGGCAAGGGAC